GTAATAGTATTTGTGTATATAATAGTACGAGAGTATATAATAGTTTTTGTAAATATAATATAATACGAGAATGAGTAATAGTATTTGTGTATATAATAGTACGAGAGTATATAATAGTGTTTGTAAATATAATGGTACTCGAATGATAGTAATATAATAGTATTTGTGTATATAGTAGTGTTTGTAAATATAATATAATACGAGAATGAATAATGGTATTTGTGTAGGTAATAGTACGAGGGTATATAACAGTGTTTGTAAATATAATAGTACTCGAATAAATATAAATTATATATATATATATACATATATATATATATATAAATATATATATAATTATAATAGTATTTGTGTATATAATAGTACGAGAGTATATAATAGTGTTTGTAAATATAGTCCTTCCTAACTTTCTCAAGGTGTTGAAATATTTTATTTCGGTTAGAGTTTGTTAAATTTTTTCAAATTTATTTTCAATTTTAATATCGCATTCAAATTCAACGTATTCAATTGATTTGTCAATTGACAAATTGTCTCTATTAATTATTTCTATCTATGATTCACGACCCATTCTACTTTAAAATCTATTTAAATCGCCGTGTTTACATATAAATCATAGAAAATTTCGAGACTTCTAACCGGTTTTCTCGAAAAAGCAACACTTTTTTCAGGAACTGATTAGTCTGCATATACAGTTAGACACATTGTATAATTGTCTTTCGTTGGCCTATTCTGGAACCGATCATCATTACCATAATATGACATTCGAAAACGGACATATGCGACAAAGATATAAAACAGATAAATTAGAATACACGAGACGTAGCTGAACTGATAACCGACTAAGACAGGAACGTGAGCTTCATTAAAAATCACAACATATTAACCTGACGATCTCGGAAACGAAATGACACAATTATAGATTCTTTCCAAAAGAACTATGTCAGAATTAATTCGTATAGGAAAATAAATAGCTTGTAATAGATTGAAAAAATTGACAAACGGTGTTATTGAATTTTCTGGAATGCTGTAGATACTGCCAATTGACTTAGAAACAGGTAGATCATAATGATAAATAATAATAATAAATGGTTAATAACCCAAAGGCAGGTCCATGGTGTTAGAGCACCAGAAATCAATGACTTTTATTCTCTCCCTTGTTTATTATTCCCACTGCCATTTTATTGCATTTAATCACTTTTTTATTCATTTGTATGCATTTTTCTGGTTTCATGCTTCCTGGTCCCATGCTTAGGTTTCCTGTATTTTCTCTTCTCGATGAAATAAAATCTATATTATTTAATCCAAGTTTCAAGTTTTCGGAATTCTATTATTCTTTAGAAGACTTTGAATAGATTTTGGAGATAATTTTCAATCAAGTTTGTTAATTTAAAACTTATTTCATATTTGTTTCCTTTTACATCTTCTTAACTTTCCGTAGGGCAAGTTATAGTAATCGCAAAAAAATCGAAAATGAAAATTTTTATATATCTTTACGTATCAAAGGTTTCTGAATATTTTGGGATACCTTAGAAGAAATGGATGTATGTGTGTGTGTGCGAATACAAATTTTCGTCGGCGATTTCGGGAACACCGATCAACTGATTTAAATAATTCAAAAAACATTAGATTCGTACTAATAAGGAGACGTGCTGATTAGTTTTTGGCGAAGGCAGGTCTAGCGGCTCCAAAGATACGGGGCAAAAAGTGTCGAAAATGATAACTCAGTTTTTAAGAGGACGGAGCGTCCGATTTTAATAATTCAAAAAACATTTTACTTGTATTAACAAGATGAAGAATTGATCAAATTTTTATGAAGGCTGGTATAGCGGTTTCGGAGATCTAATGAAAAAAGTAAAAAAAAAGCCATTTGGCGGCCGAAAATGATCTTTAGACATATGCACATCAAATTATCAGATATTTTATAGAGATTTTAACAATAAGTATAAATTTTGTTTACATTCCTATGGGTTCCGTACCAATGTTTATCCGTTAGACGGCGACGCGGCGCTTACGCGCTTTGACATCTCTATGCAGTTAAAGCAGTACGATTGCTTTGAAAAAAAGTTCAGAATTTCCAAAATATGTAAAAAAAAAAATTGCAAAAAAAAGTAATTTTTTGTCAAATTTATAGTTTCTCAAAAATCTAATTTTTTCGAAGTAAATTTTTTCAAAAATGTTAATAGTTTTTAAAAAAACAATATTTTTTGGTACGGGAAGTTCCAGCAATTTGTCTTAAGGCACGATGCCATGCGCCCCACTAGTTAATTCAATTTATTCTACAGATAAAACAGTGAGCAGTGGTTGTTCGCAATATAATTTCAATATCATTATAATTTGACAATAATAGATGCTACTTACGGAGACTCTATTAGATGTACAATTTATAGCAAAAACACAAAAATACAAAAGTGAAGAAAAGAAAAATAATGTAGAAGTTGCTAATTGAGATCAGTGGGTAATTTTTGCTTCATTCTGGGGGGATAGACGTTGATTCTGCTTTTATAACATTAGGACATTAATCTTTATTAGTCCTTTTGGAAAGAATGTAGTGTTTCTGGAAAGGATGTTTCCAGAGCTTTTGTATAGGATTTAAATCAAATTTATCTTCTCAATCTCGTGCAATATCGGTGTATCAAGTCTATAAAATAAGTTTCATCAAATTCCATAATATTAGTCATTTACTACGAGCAATCAGTAATCATCAAACATGATACTCGACTGCTACTTCTTAGATTGTCGATGTCGATGTGTTGGGAACAAGTGTTCCTTTGTAGAGGGGAATGGCGGACCCAAAGCGAAATAATGCGATCCCTATCGTGCTCACGGCTTTGCCTTCTAAAAAGCGTGCAGGTAAAATGGTCAGCCTGTATGCCAAGGTTATTAACGCTTGTCTTATAACGTAGGTAGACCCCTGATGATAAATAAACGAAATTGGATATTTAAATAAAACTGCTAAAATTTTGCGTATACGTTCTTATTTTTTTTAAATACAATTAATAATTAATGAAAAAGTTTTACCTACAGCAATCGTTTTATTATATTAAAGTATATAAAAATACACATTATGTTTTATATATAAATTAAAATCTGGTAAAAATGAAAAAATGTTGTGGAATTTTTATAACAAACATTGGTTAAATTAAATATATAAATACTAGGGTTTATACAAAAACCGACATTTCAGAAAACCGGTTTTCGAATTTTAATTTTACTAAAAACCGGTTTTCGAATTTTATATAGAAAATAAATTTTTGCTCGAATATTCTGTAATTTATCCGCAAATTTAGAGTAATTTAGAGCAGTATTTGACTGAATTTATGTATTGTTCAATTTTATACATAGTGAACAAAATTATTTTAATTTTAATTAGTAGAACTAAAAAATAATAGTTTATCTTGATCAAATAACCTTGAAAATAATTATATGTTATTCATGCATCATTTTCACATATAAAAATGAAAATATTTTCATGATAGTGATAGGAAAGTTTTCGAATAAATAAAAATAATAAATTTTTAAATGAAAAACATCACTAAATTAAGAAAAAAATTAGATATATGTTGATACATACTTGTTAATATCAATTTTAGTTTTAAAAAAAACTAAGCTAAACTCGGGTATTGTTTGTTCCGAGCAATAATTAAATTCATTCTAATAAACTCTAATAAATACGTTAATGTTATTATACATTTTTTATTAATATTATTGATAATGATAATATAAATTTGTAAAATTGTATTTATTGTTCATTTTTTATTTATAAATAAGCAAATTATTTTAGGTTTCGATAAGAAAATTGGCGAAGATTATTATTTTTGTTTGATTTTCCTTTTTTTTATAAATTACAAATTTTATCATACATTTTTATTAACAAATTCATGGTTTAAATTTGTAATGAGCGAATTGTTTTAGGTTTCGATAAGAAAATTGGCGAAGATTATTATTTTGGTTTTGATTTTACTTTTTTCTTTTGATAAATTACAATATGTTGAAGGTATTATATTGTTATGATATAATTTCAATGCAAATACTATGCTGTATTTGTTCTAGTGTATTTTAAGCCAAATTATTTAATGTTACTTGTAGTTTTGTTAGCAGCTGTAACTAAAATTGAAATTAAAAAAAAGTTTTTAATGAGATGACCATACGCCCAGGATTGGCGACAGTCTTGAATAGAGACAATATTTTTTCCTGGTTTGTTTTTTATTTTTAAAAAGGTTTTTTATTCTATATATATTACAACTACAGTATTATTTTTACAAAATTTGAAATTTTGAATGTGAGTTGAAATACAGATTAAATTTTATAGTTTTCACTAAAGGTTAAAGGTAATTGTGGTGAACAAGAGAGAATATTAAACAATGCTTGAAACATCCAGTTTGGTACTGTAAACAAAAACAGTTTAAAAAAACAAAGAGTAATCTTGTTGAAAAATATCCGATTCAATACAGAAAAAAATGATTCTGATTTTATCCTTAAATAGTATTTGTTATAAAAAATATTTTATAAAAAATATAAGTATATCTTTTATAAAAAAATTATAAGCTAAAAAATATGACACCCACCCCCCCCAGTTTTAATTCATTGCATTTTTTCTTTGGTATTTGCTAATGATTGAAGTGAATTTCATTTTATATTTTCTTTACCCACGCAAGAGAAATCCTAATTCGTATCTCACCCAGGTAAAAACACCTGTCGATTTGACAGAGCTTCAAAAATTCAACCTTTGCGTACAACCTGTTAATAATGACTTAGGTCTCGAAGAACGTTGTTGTGTTCGAGTCCAGTCAGTAGTTTCTTTTGGTCCACCATCTTTGATTTTATTCAAGAAAGACGCTAACAAATTTAATATAAATGTTACTTACAATTTTGCAAAAGTGTGATAATAAAATTAGAAATAGAAAATAATGTTTAAACAAGTTATTATAAGTGTCCATGTGCGACAGAAGTAAAAATAATGGAGAGTGTTTGTAAAAATATATTCAGGACTTTTTTGTGATATGGATACGAATACACCAAAAGTGCCAAAGGGTACTACATCACCTAGAACAAATAGGAATAATCATAATAGTTTGTCACAGGTATTTTAATAATTAAAAATATTTATTAATGATTGTGTTTACATCCCGTGCCGGCCGGCGTGTGTGAGAACCGTTTTGTTGTAATAATTTTAAGTGATTTCATTAAAAAGTTTTGGAAACAAAGAATTTTTAATTGCTTGTTTTTATTACTGTTTTAATAATGAGGTGAATTTATAATTAATCGAAAGCAATTATATGATTGTATGATAATAGCGTGTTAGATAACAAAATAATTTGGCGGTTTGAATTGAATGTATAGGAAGAAGAGTAGGATTTATATAAGAAAAATAGTATGAACATGAAGAGTGTATTAAAATTGAAATGTAATAAATTTAAAATATGTTGTAGATGGCTAAATGCTCGAGTGGCGAGGCCAAAAAAAAAAAAAAATTGAATGTCATGTTGAATTTACTATTTTTTGACAAACCGAGGCTGCTTATCGTTACTTATCACCTATAAAAGTTTCTCTATACGTCTTATAATATTTTTTAAAATCTATTATTTAAATTCTAAATTTTGGTTCACCAAGATATTGTTTACTACATAAGACATTATATAACTTCTATTGACAATAACCTGGTAATTAAAACCGTGATATGATTAACTTGTATCAAATAATATTGTTTTGTTTATTTGTATTTTGGGCATTTAATTCTATAAAAAAAATTTTATATCAGCTAGAGGTTCTGGAAAATTGTTTGTATCCGCTTAGAGGTTCAGGAATGTTTTCAGCAAATATTAAGCACTATTTTTTAGTTATTTATTTCAATTACTAAATCTTTTATTATCTGCAACGTGTTAAAGCATTGAACTGAATTGTTTAACTTTAACAGATAGAGAACCGGTTTGGTTATTGGTATATCAGACAAGCAAATATTAGAATTCAAGTTTCCATTGAGCATTCGATAAATTGTGCGAATGTTACTATAGCGGAGCATTGGTTCATTTAAATGTTTATTGAATAAACGTAATGTCTATTTACTAGTCATATAGGTCATTTGAATGAATAGACAATTTTTATAATATAAATGGTAAATGAATAGAGGCTTTTTTTGATGGGTTGTCAAGTAATAGTGTATGAAGTGTACGTTCATAATATAAGGATTACTAGATAAAGGAAAAGAATTATAAAAATAAGAAATAAATTTTGCAACTTAAGATCGACTACTAACATTGCCCAATTATAATTTTTTTGGCCAATATTATTATGTGTAATAAATTATTATTGCAACTGTATGTATATATCAAAATTCATGATATCGAACATGAAGAGCATTTTTTTTTTAAATATCTATTATAAACAATTAGCAATAAATGCGACATTGTTAATTTTAATTTATTATTGTATTTGATCTTTATTTTTTAACTTTCCGAAGAAGAAGTTTATGTTTTTGCCAAAAAATTTGACTTATAAATTGTATACTCTCTTGATGTTTCAAGTCATACTAAATCGTTTGATACTGAAAAATAATATATTTTTTTTAAAAACGTTTGAATTCTTTTTAAATTCAGATAAAAAATAAATACATGTGACTATCTTACTAGACCTCTCCCTTCCTCTACATGATGTTTCGTGATTTTTTGTCAAACCACCCCCTTACCCTAAAAGCTTCACATAATTAATCGACGCCCCCTGTTCGCGCCGTATCAAAACAAAAAATCATCAATCGAAATTCACACAATAAATCAATTCAATCAATACGTTATCAAAAACAACATATTACAATTATCTACTTAATTAATTCACATTAATGACGAATACCAATTATTTTGAAATCTATATTTCAAGGCCGGGAGCATGTTCGCGCCGTATCAAAGGGCGCGATTTATACCCCCCAAAGTTCAAAATATTTTGTCAATGTTTTCGCCAAAAATCTTGAGCCAATTTTGGGAATTCTACGGTTTATTTACAAGTTTAATTATTATTAAATAAATATTTATCAAAGATCTATTATATTTGCAATGCAAATATCTTTTTAATATAATATAAATGCTCTAGAGCGGCGAGCACATTTAGCTTCCAGTTTTTCACACGTGATGCATAGTGTCAAGAATGTACTTTTACTTTATATCTCGTTACGGTTCAGAATAATTAAGTGAACGTGTACCTGGTCGTATGATGGTCTGAAAATTATTTTTTTATTCCCATTTCCGTTTCCTCTGAATGCAAAATAAACAAGTCATGACATCATTTACTAATTGACATTTATGGGGAAAAAATTATAAGAAATTATTCCTCTGATAAGGAATCCTGTTTCATGGTAATCTTATACAAAGTCTTGGGTTTCATTTCTTAGTTTGTTTTTCTTAGAGACAAACTTGTTTAGTAACACCATTTGTTTTATTTTGTTAAAATAAATAATGTTTATAAATTACTGTATCATTAGATTGCAAACATATTCTTTTGTGTATTTGGCATTTTTGAAATAAATATAAAGACAAGTAAGTAGTAATAAAACTTTGACGAATTGTACGAACTGGACAGTTTAACATTGACTATATATACAACAAAAAATTAATTCTTACACATCAAACGTTTTCTGAAAATGGTTTCTATAGTATTTCTGGTTTAATATTTCAATTATATTTACCGTAATAAACCCGAATGAATTTTCGTAGTAATTATTTATCCATGACTAATCGTGCAATTACAAAATGGGTTTTATAATAGAATTAAATTGTGATTGAAGCAATAGTTATCTGAACTGGTTTTGCACCAGTTTGCAGAACGCCTTTCATTCCATAGTGTACGATTGTCGAAGAAAAAATCTTAGACGTATATGTATTAAGGTTAAAAAGTATTTATGATCAAATTGTAATGGTAATATCTTATAAATAATCTCCGTTATATTATGTTAGATTTGTTATGTATATTTTTTTTAACTGATCTGGTAACAATATTACATTTGAGATATTCCAAGTAGGTACATAATTTTATAACTAGATCTGTGTAGACTAGATCTGTGATTTTTCTATAATAATTAGATCTGTGGTTTTATTTTAAATACCTGAATAACCTATAAAGCACTTATTTTTCTCAATTTTGAACAGCGGTCAGAACTTGAGTGCCCTAGAAGCCATGATAGTGATGAATTTTCTAAACATCGTGTTTTTTTCACAAACATATCGCTATTCAAGTTAAAACCGTTACCATATTGCTTGACATCAGGTTGTCTGAGTGGGATATTAAATTAACTTCTGATTGGAAACCCATAGTTCTAACAGTTAACCTACAGGAAAGTTCCTTTTCTAAAATTATTTGCAAAAAATAATATCTATTCAATGACAATCAAATAGCAAAATAGAATATATGTACTGAATATTTATTCAAACACTACTTACTTATTAATTTTTTATTTTTAACCGAACTATGTTAATTTATTAATATCTTAATTATTTTAATTTATATTAGAATCAGATTAAAGTGCTTTAAGAAGCGATATCATATATATTGGTTAATTTAGACATCATCTTACTATACCTTGCGATAACTCCTCTAGACTTTATTCCTAAAACATTTTCCGGTTCTATTACTGAGCAAATAGTATAAATTTATATTTAAATCTTTCACCTAATATATTCAATCTGTGGGCGTATTATGTACTTGGTGTGAAGCAAAATCATCGTAATTTTCCTATATAAGATTTCTAAATGAATAGGTGTTGCTCTATCAAGTGCCTTAGGGGGTATGCGAATGCATAATTTATTTGCTTTGATAATAACAGTTGTTAGGAAATATTAGTACATTTCAAGATCTGAAATATGTATAACGCATTTCCTGAAACGTAATGATGGCTGATTCTTACAATATTATGAATTTAATAACACGGTAAATGCAGATAGACAAATGTGCAGTAATCTATATTGTAAGTGTATGCCAACAATGATAAGTTATTTTACCTATGGCTAAATATTTCGTTAGAAGCGATAAATTGGTTTATTTTAGTCATTCTTTAAATAACATAGATTTTGTTATGTATATATCTATAAATATATGTCTATTATTAATGTAAAATATAATTTTATAAAACATTGTTTATTCCTCAATACTTTGCATCGTGGGAACATCATAAACTTACTTGTTCTGTTTTTTTGAGGGCGGATATGTTCTTGCGGTGGACTGCTATTAAATTTGTTAGGCTGAACTTAATATAATACTACACATTGTCTTGCCAAGTCGACCCTAAATTGCTTCCTTAGAATTAATGAATACTTACTCCAAGACAACGATGTTACTTCTTCGAAAAGTGTATAACCGGACACGCTTTATGACCACGTTGTATTAAACAGATCGTTAAAATATTGTTAACCAATCCATAAAAAACGTTATCAATTTTTGGCATATTGAACGGATTATAAATCAGATTTTATTTCCAAGAAAGTTCTGTTTGCACAATATGGTGTAAAGAGTTAAAATCTCGTCATATAGTAAAATCGTACAAGTATGCCCACGTAAAACTTGAATGATTTCCAATATAATAATGTTGTCCGATGAAATCACAAACCGCAGAATGTCAAATGTCAAATTTCACATATTTTGCGGTCAATAATACGACGATAAGCTTAGCACTCCCTTAACAGGCAATTTTGTTCATGATATGAAACAATCAGTAATGCATACTGTGCAGTTTTTTACACACATTGCTGGACAATATATTCAGTAGACTTGACCTTAATTTATAAAAAAAATTCTCAGAAAAGTATAGAATACTCTACTGCAAAAAATTTACTAACTTTCATCAAAATTTGTTATATATCCCTATTGAGAATATTCAGTTTAGATTGTAGAGCTATTCTATCAATGCAGATTTTATATTATTCATCGATCATTATTGCATTTAAGCATGATATATATATATATATATATATATATATATATATATGTATGTATTTATGTATATATATGATTGAACAGTTGTCTTATAATCGATTAATGTCAACATCTCTGTATTAATATGTAACTTCTTAATTAACGTTACATGAAGTCTTCATGCTTATCTCTCCGACCTTGTAATACATCAATATACAAGCACAAATCACCTAATAAATTAAAAGCATATTATATTATGAACATATATACATATTATATTTATTATGAAATGTTCCTTGAAACAAATCTGAGTAATAACTTGTATTATATGAAATATTAAGTAATAAATGAATCAGAACTTCAAAAAAAGATGTCATATAATAAATTTATCATGGTATTGTTACACCTTTATAGTAGGACTAGATTCTAAAATACATTTTGAAAAAAGAAGATCTTTTCTGTGGCTTTTAGTTATGGGATTTCAATTAAAAGTTCCAGGTCTGATATCCTCCTTGGACAGCCTGATGTTATCTAATAGTGACATCGATTTTACTGGAAAATGTATGCGTTGGTATATTTCCAAGTGAGAATAGCTTTTCGAGCCATTGCTGCAAAATTCCAATTAGACAAACTTTATTTCAGATATTCTGGACAATCAACGGATTACTTACTAACTTTTTTGAATTAAGCAGCTCTCAATGCAGCTCAATGAACATATAATAGTTATAATTGCTTTAAAAAATTCGGATTTGGTTATTTATATTTTAAATAAATTCTAGGATTGGCAAGGAATGAAGTCATTCCAGATTATTTACAAAAGCTATCTAAACATAATGTATTACAAAATCAATATCAATACTGCTCAGCATAAAGACGAATAGTATCAGATTAGAAGTTTATACTAGTACAATAATTGGAAAATGTTTTTTTTATTAGTTTGCAATTAAACATTTTAAATCATTTATATAACTCCTGTCTCCCACTATTCTGAATAGCTCAGCAATAAGCGTCTCTATGCATTCCATGTTTATGAATAAACAATGCATTGTTGTAACTTAGCATAGGTATTATTGCGCCATTGTTTGGAGCTCATCAGAACGCGACAAACGACTTAAGTCGTACTACGTCGTGAATATCAAGCAGGCCTAACCTCTATCCTTTCACAATCATTTCATCCTCCAGATATGCAATGGATTGCTTATTGTTCAATTATTCATCGATAGCTACAATCCAAGGGATTAAAATATTTATTTAATTCTGAACAATAATGTAAATCTTATATATAAAAATGAATCGCAAAATGTGTTGGTAAGCGCATAACTCAACAAATCCTGGACCAATTTGGCCAATTCTTGTTTTGAAATGTTCGTTGAAGTCCAAGGATGGTTCTTACGGCGAGAAAAAATCGAATAAATGCCAGGAAAACCCTAAAAACAGCTCTTTTCTTTTTCTCATACAAACGTTTTTTAACTAAAACGTAGAATCAATGTGATCTTTATTGCTATTATATAAAGTTCACATTAAATTACAAGCACTCACTGTATACTCCTTCTAAACGATTATTCGGATTTTGATAAATCTTTCTGAAGTTTGTTGGGGAAATTTTCTAGGATGTATGTGCAATATTGTAAACATTGCAAAAAACGATATGTCATTGTTTGCATTGATAACAAATGAAAACTATCATCTGCCAAAAATTTCAATTTACTTATGAACCTATACAATATTAGAATATGTATAATAAATATATGATTATGAATAACAAAAATGAAATGTCTACATTATTATTGCCAAAAAGCAGCTGAGATGTGCCAGAAATTGAAATAATATAAAATACAGTATACGTATGGCAGATTGAATTATACACACATGAACAAATATGACAAATTAATTCACTTAAAATATGAAATTAAGTATTAATCAGGGCCGGTCCTACTTTTAATGCGATGCATTCGAAAAATAGAGCGCACGCCTTGCAAGAAGATACAAGTTGTTACAGCATAAGTAGCTAATTTATGAATAAAAATTTTCTGATAAAATTTCATTTACAATTAGTATCAATAAAATAACAATGTTTCTCTGATTAGACTTCTTTCATCTGAAGGTTTTTCTTGCCTGTTATTCACGATAGTTTTTTTGTTGTCCTTCAAAAGGATTCTTCATTCTCTTACAAGTTTTGCATTCTTTCCTTATGATGCAATCAACTGACCCCTGACAAGGGCATGCTATTAATTTCATATGCTTCTTTACGGATATGAAATTTTTTCATCAAAATTAATAAAAGTTAAGGTCAATGGCTTAATCAATAAATTAAATAAATGGAAATGTTTGGAATGATATTAGAATATATGGATTTTCTAGTATTATTTAATTTTTGCAAAATCCTAAACTGTTTTCTTATATATTTACTTTATTTTCCTCTTTTATTTACTTTGTTCTGTATACCATCATATAATTAAATAAAGTTCACAAATTAAAAGCGAACCATTGAATTTCCTTCTAAAACCCATTGTAAATTTTTTAATCAATGTCTTTCTATCCAACACTACATTCGATCTAAATTATATATCGAACATCTGCTATTTTTCCCATCTCTAGTTTCGTGTTTAAGAATGCCTGTCGGAACTCGCATAAACAAAATCAGCGGTCCACCAGTGTTGATGCATTTTTGTTGATAGTTGCTGGAATATCCCAAGCTAGAAGTCACATCTATCAGTCATTGTGCTCAGAGTTTGAGAATTATTCAATTGCGTTTGTTCGTTTTTTGTGTCTTTTTAATAAATTTGTTGAAATTTGATATTGCGTCATGATACAAAAATTACTGGAATTTAAAAGTGAGTGGGGCAAGGATGAAAATTACCAACTTAGTACAGGAAGCTAATAAGGTAGAAATGATAATACTCTAATAATAGCAATTCAGGTTATTTGCAAATGCTTTAAATTATTGTGAATGAATTTTAAAAATAACAACAATTTATTTAAATGATGCATGATGTGTACATTATTGCACAATTTATAATACAGTTTAAAATAAAATAATAAGATAAGATTTTTGTCGTTTTGTCAAGATGCATCACTTTTATATTAACAAAATCAATTTAAACAACAATGTTATATTTTTCATAATGAATAGATGATTGTCGTGTCACTTTGATTTATATTTACCAAAAAGACCACTTACAAATTGTAAGCCTTTATAAATATTGATAATCATGTTATAATTAATGCCAAAATGTGTGTCCATTTGTATAATGATTGTTCATGAAATGTAGTACTAATTTATCTATTTTTTTGTGTTTCTTGCTTGCCAACTTAGAACATAATACATTGTTCTTGGAAATATTTTCAGAATTATTAACTTTCCGTAGGGTAAGTTATTGTAATAGGCCGAAAATAGAAATTGAAAATTTTTACATTTCTCGACGTTTTGAAGGTTTCTGAACATTTTGGCATACCTCAGAAAAAAGGATGTGTGTGTGTGTGTGAGTGTGTATGTATGTATGGATACAATTTTTCGTTCACGTTTTCGGGCGCACGGATCAAACGATTTGAATGGTTCAAAAAACATTAGATTCCTATTGATAGGATGATGTGCTGATTAGTTTTTGGCAAAGGCAGGTCCAGCCGATTAGGAGATACGGACCAAAGAGTGCAGAAAATAGAAATCGAGTTTTTGAGAGATCGGAGCATCGATTTGAATGATCCCAAAAACGTTCAATTCGTAATGACGGGGAGAAGGGGTGATTAGTTTTTGTCAAAGGCAGAGCCAGCGGTTTCGGAGATACAGAGCTAACTGTGCTAAAAATGGCAGTTTTTGAGAGAACTAAGCGTCCGATTTGAAAGATTCCAATAACTTTCTGCTTGTTTTAACAAAATAATTGATTTTGGAAAAAAATTTTTGCTCCAATTTGCCTTAAGGCACGATGCCATACACCCCACTAGTTTCACAGTATCAATTATCTATTGAAACTGTGGTTGCGTGCACATTTATTTGGAAATTATCTGGAATGCAAATAGTTTTTGTTTATGAATCAGATTATATATATTTTTTTCTCAGACGGGGGATAGATCATCGGGGTCCTGGCGAACTCAACGGGTGCTCCTAACTCGCGTGCCGGGCTACGGCTTTGGTATAGCGGTCTCGGGCGGTCGCGATAACCCGCATTTTGCCAACGGAGATCCGGCGATAGCGGTCAGCGACGTTCTGCGCTGCGGACCAGCCGAAGACGTATTACAGTAAGTAGAAATCTGGTAAATCTAAAATATTGTAATATTCGAGATTTAATTTCTAATATTTTTCTCTTATTTCTAGAGTGAATGATCGCATAATATCGGCGAACGGCATATCACTGGAGAATGTGGAATATGCAACTGCTGTGCAAGTATTAAGGGAGAGCGGTGACACCGTCAGCTTGCTAGTAAAACGGCGTTCTAGCGCTGTTATTGGTGCAGAAGGTGCCAATATTGGTAACGACGCACCTGACTCCACAATACCTGCTGCTATCAGGAGAGCTAGCATGTCCCCTGCAGGTAAATGAACTTTATTTAACGCGATTGGCATTAATTTCAGTTGTAATAGGAATTTATAAAACATTACTAATTTTTTACAGGTATGGGACAAACAACAGGAGGCAGTAGTCATCATGCCAGGTCCCAGTCTTATGGAAGTCCAGCTGTCTCACCGCCTCCTTTGCTGCAGAATGCTATACAGCAACAAGGCATTAAAATATCTCTCACCAAGGCAGGGAAGAAAGATGGTGAGTTAATCACATAATTTGTTAAGAAATTTCATTTTTAATTCATATAAAATTTCTTCATAATCATTTTGTTAGATTGTTACTGATAAATATTTAATTATTACGTTATTTTTTTCAGATTTTGGAATCGTCCTCGGATGTCGTCTTTTCATTAAGGAGTTGTCATCCAAAGCTAGAGAACAGTTGGCTTTGAGCGGACAAATTCTGCAAGAAGGTGATATTATCACTCGACTTCATAATACGAGTTGCGGAGATACAATGGGTCTGAAAGAAGCTCGGAAAATAATGGAAGGATGTAAAGAAAGACTTAGTCTTGTGGTCACTAGAAATAATAGTACTAATAGCCTAAGCAATGGCACAGCATTATGTAAGAAATATGCATTACAAGAGTAGTAAATTTAATTCATAGTTTGTTTTGGTTTAATGTTTCTATTCCTTCTTTATAGTGAATGGTAATACAGGGTCAGGTCTGTTAACGCCTTCTACTCCTCAAAACAATTTGTCCGCAACTAGAAATACATCATATTCACATGCTGCCCAAAACTCACATTGTAGCATGGGTAAGTAACTCATTCCACAATATATTTAAAATAAAAAAAAGTATTTGAAGACTTCACATTGCATTTTAGATGACACTCTTTTATCTTCTGGCCCTTCATATTCTGCTCAAAATTTGTACGTGGTTCCACCAACTAGACCGAACACTATGCCGGCGTCTTTAACGGATGACAAAAGCAATCTTGTTCCGAGAGGCAGAAGTCGTAATCCTTTATTGGATGTAAGTTTAAGCCAGTTAGACAGGCCTAGTACACCTCAAGGAACAGGTATAATTATTTGTCAAAATTTTATCAAAATTCATTTAAACTATCATGTTTACTAATAATGTTTTAATAATCAACATTTTTTAGGACATGGTAGAAGTCGAAGTGCGGTTGAAGAACCACCACGTCCCCCTCCACCTAGGGCTGAAGATTATTATAGTTCTAGAAAGCAATTGTTTGAGGATGATCCACTTAATATAAGAAACAAACAATCAACGTAAGTTATGACATAAATTTTAAATTTTGTATTTATGCTCCGATAACAACTCACTTTAATTTGAAGATCTGAACCGAGATACATAACTTTCATGAAAGATCCTGGTGGATCAGTGGGTATTCGTCTGACTGGCGGAAATGAATGCGGCGTTTTTGTAGCAGCCGTCCAGTCGGGCTCTGCCGCTTTTCAGAGAGGGCTTGAACCAGGAGATCGTCTGCTGCGAGTAAATGACGTTGATATGCGAGGAGTTACACGCGAAGAAGCTGTTTTACTTTTATTAGGGCTTCAGGACAGAGTTGATTTAATAGTAAAACGGTGTAAGGAGGAGTACGAAAGGGCAATAGCAAATCAAAAAGGTTTGTTATATAAAACAGTTTTTTCATTCATTTTCTAAGTTCAATTTAAATAAAGCTATAATCATTTTCAGGGGACAATTTTCATGTAAAAGCTCATTTTCACTATACTGAACCATTAAAAGGCGAGTCAGGCTTTCGAAGCGGTGATGTTTTCCGCGTTTTAGATACTTTACATAATGGAGTTGTTGGTTCATGGCAAGTATTCAGAGTTGGCAGAAATAACCAAGAGATGCAAAAAGCAGTAATACCAAATAAGGTTAAAATCTAATTTGTTTTTTATTTTTTAATTGAAACATTTCTATAAAATAAAATCTAATTGCTTAGGCAAGAGCGGAAGAGCTTGCAACTGCACAGTTCAATGCAACGAAAAAGGAATTATCAGCATCAGAATCACGTGGAAACTTCTTCAGGAGACGAAGATCAAGTCATAGACGAAGTAAATCTTTGAGTAGGGTGAGTAAAACTTATAAAAGTATTTTAAATAGACATATAATTATATTATATTAATAATATAATATATAATTACAGGAACATTGGGACGACGTAGTATTCTCAGATAGTGTCAGTAAATTTCCGGCATACGAACGTGTGGTACTTCGTCATCCTGGTTTTATGAGGCCGGTGGTTTTGTTCGGAGCTGTTGCGGATTTGGCAAGAGATCGTTTATTGAAAGATTTTCCTGATAAATTCACAGCACCTCGTAAGTTTTTCTAACAGTATTTATATTAACTAATATAATGATGATATAATCAACATTGTATCATCGATTCAATAATATAGTTTATAATAAAGTGACATCGCGTTTGGTTTGCATATATTTTAATTCTAATTATGCTTACGCTTTTTACAGAATTGGACAATAATTTGTCTGAAGAACTTTCCCGTGGACCTAAAGCTGGTGGTATCATTAGACTATCAGGCATTCGTGATATAATGGATAGAGGAAGGCACGCTTTACTAGATATAACGCCAAATGCGGTGGACAGACTGAACTATGCACAATTTTATCCAATCGTAATTTATCTGAAAGCGGATAGCAAACATACTATAAAACAACACCGTCAAGGCATAGCAAAGTAAGATCCTAATGTTTAATAATAATATCAACTAGTATTATTTTAATTATTGGTCACATTGAAAATTTATAGATCTGCGCACAAGAGTTCCAAAAAACTTCTGGAACAATCGCAAAAACTAGAAAGAGTTTGGAGTCACACTTTCAGCGGTCAAGTTACTCTTGGCGAACCTGATTCTTGGTATAGAAACTGCGCGATTTAATTGACCAATTACAAAGTGCTCCAGTGTGGGCTTCTGAATCCAAGGTAGGATATTTCATTGTTAATTTCAATATTTCACTAAAAAATATTTATTTAAAAGTAATTCAACTTCGAACATTTTTACTTCTAAATTTAAAATATCTCTGGAATCAAATTATAAGTTTTAAGAATTTTCGTTGTGAAGTTTTACCAGATGATTTGATGTATCAAAATAAATTTTGGTGGTGGACTATATGTTGTAACTAACTCAATTTATTTATTTTTTCTCATCCGTCATGAACGAAAACTAAATTGATCAGCGTCCTGAATTGGTGTCAGACATTTATTTCCCGATTCCTTCCTGTTGTGATGTCTGCAACGATCACATTTCTTCATCATTGCATATTTGTGACAGTCCTTATAGATCGCTTCCTTTGCCATCTCCTAGGCCGCTTTACAATTGTTCTCCACAAAGAACTTCATTTTCGCAAACCTTACCGCCTCGTTACCGCCGCGGAATTAGAATCTCCGATAGTCAAAATGTTATTTTACCACGGGCTTCCATGTATGATCCGAGAATACAAAGCAATGATGACATTATCATGCCTTATACAAGATCGATGTATTCTCCACGTATGAGCGGTTTAATGCTGTTTTAGAAGAATTTGGTTCTGATGATAAATTAAGTGAACAATTTGGAGACGATGATAAAGTTTGCATCGACATGCATGATGATGTAAATGAGCTTGATGGTAAAAATGGTGGATTCAATAGTAAAACGGCCAGGGAGGAGTTTTTTGGATTTATTTGAGTATATATACTTGATTGAAATTCTAAATCTTACATTATAAATAACTAATATGAGAATACTTTTCTACAATTATTGTTTTAAATTTTGTTTTTGGTTTTGAAAATTTTTAGTATTAATTTACCGTAGAAAAAATATATAAAATGATGAATTTAATAATATTAAACTATTTTTTATAAAATAGTTTGGACGCTTTATTGTTTCATGAACTTGAAGCATATTTTGCAAATAACTTCTTATGTTATTCTTTGGTTTCTAGTTCAACAAAGCTAGTTTCTTATATAGGATTTTTGATTCTGGTTAATAATTACTAATGGATAATATATATTTATTTAAATATGTAATTTTTACTTCTAATACGTGTGTTCAAGCTAACAATAATAAGCAAAATGTGTTGCTTTACTACATTTTCAATTTTCACACTCATCTTTTGCAATTTTCTGTACCATTGGCTGTTAACTTGAAATTATTTTTAGCTTGAGCATTACTAATATCATGCATAAGCATTACTTATAACAGTGCTTGCGAAATAGTTTAATATTTATCACATTTTTAACATGTCAACAATTTATTAACATTATGCTATGTGTGTGTTCGTCTTTCCCGCATTGATGCTGAATTTCCTCTGACACACATTTTTTGGACACATTTGGATTTCCTGAACTGATGCTAAACCTGGAATCTACGGACTTAACAACATATTGAATCATGAAATATTCATTTCCACCTGCTACTCATAAATTTGCAAACCGTTTTGGAAAATGATAAATGGAACTATTAGCCCGAAGAATCTTTGTCGGATGACTTCTTGTTCCCAATGACGTCTCGTTTGTCATATGCATCCAGCCCAGAGTCAGATTTGGAACTGAGCCCTGGTGCGGCTCCCAGATTAGTCAAGGCATCCAGCGATCCGTCAGTTGCAACTGCTCAAGATAATGGTGATCGCGACGATCTCAACTTAGCTGATGCATTACCACCTCCTTATAGCGTGAGTATAGGAATCATTTTAACTTACCGATACATTTTTAAATATTATGAAGTCCCTACTTTGTCAAAATGTTTTGATTCTCAAGTAATGTAATCCTAACTGAGTGAACATGACATTTCAATTGTTAATATGTAACTTGAATATACTAAAGCCTTGTTTATAAAGCCACACACGTCATTTTTAATTAGGGTGAGGTATTAATGCTACCGGCTTACACATGCAGCATTCTGATTAAAGCTTCAATTAAAATTCCATTCAAAGCATTATATTAACTGCATCATCTCCTATGATAAAATTTTAATATGTGGGGATATACATGGTTTTTATAAGTGTAACAATAACAACATTATTTATACATATTTTTATTTTATATTTCTTTTCCAGAGTCCATATGACCATTCAAATCATGTTCGAAGATCAGCTGATAGCAAGTACGGATTTTCGCCTTCCGGATCTGGAGAAAGTACTCCTGGATATCCCAGAAATACAAATAATACACAAGCCAGTCAACAAAATCTTTATGGCCCGGGTAAGTTGAAGTATTAAAGAAAATTATCTACAATAATATTATATTATTGTGCATGTATTATTACATTTTACAATAAATTTGTAGATCTTCCACCACGTATAGATCGTGCTGTAAAGCCGCCATCATTGACACGATCGGCTACAAGTGCTCAAGATCGTCTGTTTGGAGGTACAGTTACAAATTCAACTGCCAAAGACCAAAACATACCGACCGCAGATGAAATTAACGGATATCACCAGCATCAACAGCAACAAAGACAAAATTCAAATAGCCAAAACCAATTATCTTCTGGTTCATTGGATAGAAATCAGCAACAAAATAGTACGGTCACTTCTTTAGATCGCTCTAGGCCAGGTACAGTTTTACATAAAACAGCCGTTTGTTAATTTTTTTAATCAGTGTAAAGCATTATCAATATTTCAAGAATTGACATTAATTTATTTTTATTTTTGCAGGTATCAGGGAAGCACCAGCAGGAGGTAATGGCTCTTACGACAGCGTATCGAGTTATGATTCTTACAGCAACACTTTGGTTAGAGATTCTCTTGGAGCGTCTACTACTAGACTAGGTCCCAACGCGCCTGATGATCTAAAATCCGTGCCCCAAGCAAAGTATGCACATATTTATATAAGTTGATAATTAATAAGTATTTTAGTGTAAGTTTATTTTTCTTTTTATGTTTCTAGTAAACAATTTGATGTACAAATGTCTCCACGAAACTCTACTGCCCCAGATGGACGTGTTAGAGATGAAATGGGTATGAATCAAGGACGCAGTGGTTCCTACCATCAACATGACAGCTCTGTACCACCAGGATTAAATAGCAATATGCGCACGGGACAATTGAGTCCGCGACCCTTACCACCCAATGTAAGATATTCACAAATATATTTAGAAAATTTAATCCCTTTGATATGTGGTTCTTATTTGTTTGCATTTTTTTAGTATCAAGATCCTAGATCAGGACAATATCAAGATGGAAGAAGTGGCCAATACCAAGCTCATGATCCTTACAGGTTTACCCGATCAACAGCTCAGCCTGTTATAAATGATGGGCGACGACCTCCACCTCAGAATTTAGAAACTAAAACAGATTATGGAAAATACAGGTATTTGGTTTATCCATCTTACAAGAAGTATAGCATTGTATTCATAAATTCTTGTATTAATTTCATTATTAAATTTTCTATCTACTATTAGTCAAGCCGCTGATTATAAGCACAGTCCCGTAAAACAATCAGGACCACCTCCTCCGTTATCACCAGTAGGTTTGGGTCCGCCAAGTGGTGGTTACAAACCTGTACCTCCACCAAAACCTAAAAATTATAGACCACCGGTACCAGGTTGGTCTGGTGAGGAAACTGCATCTCCAATAAATAAAAGTTACACACAAAATGGACATGCTCATAATGGGGTAAGATATTTGTATAAATATTCAACAGGACTGAAACTAAATCATTATTCTGTTATTATTTTAGGATATTGTTCCAAGGTCACCGAACGGATATGCTCCGAACGGAAATTATTACGCAGGCGCAGGCGGAGGTAATACACCAGGAAATGGAAATATGGGCGGTTGGCCAATGCACCAAAATCATCATCAACCTCCTCCAGGACCACCTCATGGACATGGGCCGCAAAGTGGTCAGGGCTACGGATATCCACCAGTACAACAACAATACACTCAGAGAATACCTCACGGAATGCGTGAGTATAAATTGTACATAAAATCATTGTTATTATTTTAAATAGAAATAATATAAGGTTTTAAAATATGAAATATTATATATTATTTATAAATTCATGTCTTTTAATGCATAAGTTGAATTCCATGTCAATTTAATTCAACTATTATTTTTAGTAAACTTTGATCGTTTACAGCTAACCAGCATCTAAGTGATGGAAGAGGGCATCATGGGCCACCTTTAGATTTAGCAGGAAGTAGAGAACAACGTGGTTCTGCTTTTGAACTGTATAGAAAACCACAGGCTATTAGTCACCACCATAATATAAGGTAAATATTTATGTGTTTTCATAACTATTTAGTCGCTTGATGTTAACAAATCATAAAGGTAATTGCTCAACACATTCCATCAAGTTCACTTTTATGTTATATTTAAAAAATCAAAATCGTCATGTTTTATAAAGTTAACTTTTGTAATTTCTTCAAAAATGTTTTTAATATGTCCAATGCATGATTTTAAACTTACAATTAGAAATTACTTAAATAATTATATAAATATATGAACACTTCATATATTTATTTTTGTGTTCAGTATTTTTATCCCTTTAATTGGAATTATCATGGAATAATCTTGCTCTAGGTGTCTAACATGCTGTTCTCACATTAAAATTGTTATTTTGACTAATCCCAAATAATAAATTTCACAAAATCAGTACGGAGTGGAGTTTAAATTTAACTTATTTATATAATATAATGCTTAAATTCAAAATTGTGTGATTATTTCACAGGTTGGACATGTAATAGTTTATATCGTTGATGTTATATATAAAATATTAATAACTTATGATGCACAATTGAGGTACACAATTAAAATTATAATTAAATTCTCGCACTCATTTAACTGTTCACTATTACTCTAAAGTATGAAATGTTTTATAGAAAACATAAATTCTATAAAAATAAATTAATTTTATCTCATTTTTATTTTTATTTGATTTAGAGAGAGCTCTGACATCTTCCATGCTAAAACCAATTAATGCAAAAAATCTAACATTATATTACTTATATTTATATAATACAAAAATACATTGTAGAAGTTCTGAACTGATTTTGTGTTTATTTTTAATGGTGTCAGTTAAGTGATGCAAAAATTTGTTGCTTTACCCATTTTGATTATGTGGTGTGGGAATGCATGTTAGTGCACGAGTGAAATATTCAGGATAATTAATAAAAATAAAGAAAATTGTATAAAATTATATATGTATATATGAATACATGTATACAAATTAATGTAACATTTTTACTCTTATAAAATGTGGACAATTTTCTAATTACAAAGAGAACTTAAATTTAAATCGATCTTGAAATAAATTTTGCATTAAAAAAGCGTATTGATAATGAATTATTTTTTCCAAAACTTTTTCCGAAAGTGAGCCGGATAAAAAGCAAAGCAAGAAATCGTTTTTGAAAAAATCACCATTGGCTAACATCAAAGATTTATTTCGCGGCCCAAAAACCCTCCGTCGGCAGAACTCTATGTGTGAAAAATCTTCCGCTCCGAAAATTAAACCGATTTTACGCCGACAAAACTCAATGCTGGAATCTAGGACTAAATATTCCGAGTCGCCCATGCAAAGCAGGCGAGCCAGTGAAGCAAATTATAATTATAAACATGAACCATTTTACCAAAAATTCGATACCATGTCGGACGATGAACAACATATGCGTACTGGTTCATTTAGAAAGAACCAAGAAGTTAGATTTCAGGATTCCGGTCATGTTCAAGAAAGCCCTTACGCTAATAGGCTTGAAATGCGACAACAGTATGAAGCAAGTCTGAATGAACCGCCGTACGCATCCAGGAAGGAGATTGATGAAGAAAGACAAAGGCAGCTGATGTATCAATCTAGAAAAGAAGCAATACATCAAAGAAATATGGAAGCCAAAATGCGTGTAAATCACGATCCATTATATCAGACCAAACAAGAAGCTATATATCAAAGTAAACGTGAAGCCTTATATCAAAGCAGAAAAGAAATGCAGGATAAAATTTACAATAGTAAACGTGAAATACAAGAAGCCTTATATCATCAAGGGCAAAGAGAAACTTTATACCAGAGCAGGAAAGAAGCTCTGTATCAAACTAAACAGGAAATCTTGTATCAATCAAAAAAGGAAGCTTTGTATCAGACTAAAATGGAAGCTTTGCAACATGAACCTCCTTATCAGTCTCGCAAAGAAGTTTTACAACAAATGGAGCCGCCGTATCAAACTAGAAAAGAAGCATTATATCAAAGCAAATTAGAGGCATTAAAACAAGAATCACCTTATCAAAGTAGAAGGGAAGCACTGTATGGAACTAAGCAAGAAATTTTATCTCAGGGAAGAAGAGAACCTCTGTATCAAAGTAAAACTGAAGCTTTACAAAAACTTCAAGATCCGCCTTACCAAAGTAGAAAGGAGTTACGGGAACAGATATATGCACGAAATTCTCCATTTCAACATCGGAAGGAAACGATATATGAAGAAACCCCTGAGGTCGATGACAATGATATTAATAAGCGCAATGACCAAAATTTCAAAACGCACCATATATCAACGGTAATCAAAAGAACTGCGCCTCCTACATCAGAAACGAATACTGGGGCTTCAAGAACGTCGCTTGAAACACAATATACTTCACAGATGAGTTTAAAGCAACCACCAAACGCACATAGTACACCATATGCTTCCGATGTCAATTTAGTCCAACCTCCTGTTATATGTAAAGGAAACTTTGACTCTAAAGGAGGTACCTTGAAAAACGATTCTTGGGGTGTATCCTTGATCATTCCACCTGGGGCTTTGCCAGAAGGGCCTCCTAGAGAGATTTATTTCACAGTAACAGACCCAAGACAAAGAAATGCCGCCGGTGCTCCGCCTCTGGATTGTGAGAATGGTACGAGTTGAATGAATACTTTAGAAATGAATTGTTTTTAATAGACGTTAATTATTTGGCCTGTTGCAACAATATTGTTTGGATAGTACCTGTAAAATTCAGTGTATAGATTTAGAATGCTTTGTATCGAAAGTAGATGAACTATGTAGTCAAAACTCATAAAGTTTGCTTTTTATAGTTACTCATTGTAATAGCACGATTGGATTTTGACTTGTAGGCAGTATTTATAAAAGTGCACTAGTGTAGATTTGCATGTAATTGTGGTGTATGTTTTATGCTCAAATGTTATCTAATGCATATTCTGTTTAATTGAATTGTCCAACTTATGAAAAAATGGATTTTAATTCAGCTTTATTCTGCATTACTTTTATCTGTAGTTTGTATTCAACGCATGAATGTATTGTGCGTAATATCACCAGCAAACCATACCTTTTTTTTTTCATATGAAAGGTAATGTTTATGTTTTTTCTTAGGTGAAACCATGCTCTCGCCACTTGTGATGTGCGGTCCTCAAGGTTTAGAATTTTTAATACCTGTCATACTTAACATTCCTCATTATGCAAGTTCTACGACGAGTCTTGGGCTTGCTCTAAAAGCTACCGATAGTGAAAAGGATCTACAGACCGGCTGGGATAATATACAATTGCCTAGCAATATAGCTGCTAACGTAGTTTCAGTTAAAGTTGACCATTTTTAAAAATATTTATTGATATTCTATTTGAGAATAAGGTGTTTATTGAAGATGAAGTCTTTGAACGTGATGTTATTTTTCATTTGAATGGAAGAAAAGCTGATTTTGTTTTGTGTATTTTGTATAAAATTATTGGAATGTACTTGGTCATAGAAAAAAATGTGATTTTATATAACAAGGTATGTAAGATGTATAAAGTTGTGGCAATCATTTTCACACATTTGATGATTTAAGTTTGTAAAAGTACCAGAATGCTTAGAAATATTAGATTACAGGGGAAATTAAAATGATTTGCAGAAATTATTAAAAACATTAAAAACATTGTAACTCTAATATGATTTCATTACACTCCTGATTATTATCAGTGTAATGATTATAATTCAATTTTTGCACTTGATATTTAGAAAGCAAATATGACTAAACTTTATTGTGTCTTTAACATGTGCCTTAAAAATGAGTAATATTTCAATTTAAGGAAATGATTCCAGGCCGGTCCTGATTAAGTTTTTCTATAATATCAATTAGTATAAAGTAATCTTCCACAAGTAGCTGAAAATTAATCCAACCTATCTTTTGTAAATATATTTAAAAATCAGTTACTTAATATATGCATATATATCAAATTTAAGTAGTGTTATATATAAAAATTCATCATTTAGATTTAAGACTGATGATTATCTCTATATTTTATTAAATTTGTTGTATCTATTAGATAATTTTTTAGTTTATTATGAAAATTTAATTATTATTCTAAGTTATCCCGAAAGCAGTCCTTTTTTGTAAGTGGAAACGTATGGCAATGTGTAATCAACTATTGTCATAACCAAATAATTGTTGCCATTTATATTTGTTAGTAATTACTTTTTAGGATATATTATTGAAGATAAATTATTATCTTTTATTGTATTATATATGTTATTGTAAGATTTGTATGTTGCAAAATAATTAGAATTGATTTTAGTTGAATTAATAGATATATTTTGAAAAATTATTTTGTGTTTTTTGTTACTGATGCATAAGTGATTAGATTTATTTTGATTAATTTTGGTGCTTAATTTTTTATTTTATTGTGCGAGATATATTACATCTTCTATTTATAATGAGCAATTAGTATATCAAGTTATTTATATATATTACAAAATATTTTAAATATATTCCAAAATGTTAAATAGTAAATAAATTAAATTTATTATTTTCATTTATAATTAAAGCAGCAGTAGAAATACTCATGAAATTTATGTAAAATGGGAAATATTTTACTAAATCAACTTAAAAAAATAAAATTATAAAACTATTAAAAAATAAACCTTTTATGAATTATTCAACAAATTCTAATGAAACAAAAAGTGAAAATATTCAGTATCTTCCAAAAGAACGTGCTAAATCAAAACAAATTTTAAATCTATTATTTTGGTGCGATCAAAAGCAACTGTCGTAACTGAACTGTTACCAACAATAAAGACGCGAATTGATTTATGTCGTTTGGCTATCTTTAGCTAGATAATATATTGTTCTTCGCGGAATAATAATATTTTATTAATAATATTATATATTGATTTATAAATGATGCTTTATAATAATTATAGATAGTGAAATTAATTTCCGACAATACCCAATAATAACTAATATATATTCTTTAACTTAAGAACGATATCTGCGTCCTGTAACCTAAAAATAGATGTCAATCTGAATTTAAACCGAATATTTTTATTTTATTATTGAAGCAACTAATTTTAATTAATTATTCAAAATGCCACGAATTATGATAAAGGGGGGTGTCTGGAGGAACACAGAAGTAATTATGAATTTATTTGTTACATGCTTTATAAACAACACTTGAATAGGGATTGTAGTAATTCTTTCATTATTATTATAGGATGAAATTCTTAAAGCAGCGGTAATGAAATATGGCAAAAATCAATGGTCCAGAATAGCATCTCTTTTGCACAGGAAATCAGCTAAGCAATGTAAAGCCAGATGGTTTGAATGGCTAGATCCAAGTATCAAGAAAACTGAATGGTCAAGAGAAGAAGATGAAAAATTACTTCATTTGGCAAAATTGATGCCAACTCAGTGGCGAACTATTGCTCCAATTATTGGTCGTACTGCAGCACAATGTTTAGAACGATATGAAAATTTGCTGTAAGTTTCAAAAGGAGTTTGTTAAGTTGTATAATATATATAACTAGTCACAACCAGTTTAGATTGAAACAAAAACACACATAAACTATTGCATCATTTTTTTCTTTTTAGTGATCAAGCTCAGAAAAAAGAGGATGGTGAAGATGGCATCGATGATCCACGTAAGCTTAAGCCTGGAGAAATTGATCCAAACCCTGAAACCAAACCAGCAAGACCAGACCCAAAAGATATGGATGAAGATGAATTGGAAATGTTGTCTGAAGCCAGAGCCAGATTAGCAAATACACAGGGTAAAAAGGCTAAAAGAAAAGCACGTGAGAAGCAATTAGAAGAAGCACGTAGATTAGCAGCATTACAAAAAAGAAGGGAGTTGAGAGCTGCTGGTATTGGTTCTGGTTTTCGGTAAATACATTTTATTTCATCAATTTCAGTTATGGTATCTAAAATGTTATTTTATTGATACATTTATAGAAATAAGAGAAAACGAGGTGTGGATTATAATAAAGAAATTCCATTTGAAAAACGTCCAGCAATTGGTTTCCATGACACATCCAATGAAGTATTAGATCCCATGGCTCCAAATTTTAGCAGAATGAGATTGCAACATTTAGATGGCGAACTTCGGGTAGAAAAGGAGGAGGTAATATCATTATTGATGTTATCTAGAACTTATGTTGCTAATGCTTAATGATTATATTGCATTTTTTTAAAAGAGGGAACGGAAGAAGGATAAACAAAAATTAAAGCAAAGAAAAGAAAATGATATACCTTTAGCTATGCTACAAAATCAAGAACCGGCTAAAAAGCGATCAAAGCTGGTACTGCCAGAACCTCAGATATCAGACCAGGAACTCCAACAAGTTGTTAAATTAGGACGAGCCAGTGAAGTTGCTCGAGAAGTTGCCAGTGAGAGTGGAATTGAAACTACTGATACTTTGTTAGCAGATTATGCACTAACTCAGCAAGTTACTGCAACTCCAAGAACGCCAGCTCCACAAACTGATAGGTATATATATATATATATATATATATATATATATATATATATATATAAGCACACACACTTATATATATATGTAAATATAAATGATGCATTTTGTTATTATTATGTATCATATGTACTTCACAGAATTTTACAAGAGGCTCAAAATGTCATGGCATTAACTCATGTTGATACACCCTTAAAAGGAGGTATCAACACTCCATTACACATGTCTGACTTTACTGGGGCACTTCCACAAGCGGCAGTGGTGGCCACTCCAAATACAGTATTAGCTACACCATTTAGGTAAATATCTAATTAAAATTTTAATTTATCGCCTTGAACATGCTGATTTTTTAATGATATTGATATTTCTCTCAAGATCTTCAAGAGCAGATGGTTCTGCAACACCTGGCAGTACACCAGGATTTATGACACCAGGTTCTGGAGCCTTAGTTCCTATAGGAGCTGCACACACAGTAATATAAATATGAATTACTATATATTAATTAAAAAAAGTGTTTCACTTAGAATGAAATATTACAGTTTTAAATTAAATTAATTATTTTCAGAATACAAATAATTTCACTCCATCAATGATTCGAGATAAGTTAAATATTAATGTAGAAGAACATTTAAGTGTAGGAGATACTCCACAAGCATTAAAGAATTATAATAAACAGGTTTGTCTATGAAAGTAGCAACTTCTATATATGTCTTTAGTATATTTACTAAATATATGTACTTCACAGATTAAGGCAACTCTAAAGGCGGGCTTGAGTTCTTTACCCATTCCCAGAAATGATTATGAGATTGTTGTTCCCGAAGATGAACAGATTCAAGAAGAGCAGTCTAGTGAAACAGTGATTGAAGATCAGGCGGATGTGGATGCAAGATATCAGGCTGAGCTTTTAGAAAAACGTAAATTACTTTTTTAAAAATTAATTGACATAATCAACACCAGTTTTTATTAATCTAAATATAAATTGATTTCTATAGAAAAATTAGAATTATCTAGAAGATCACAAGTAATTCAGAGAAATTTGCCAAGACCTTTAGAAGCAAATATGCTAATTTTGAGACCATCAGCAGATTGTGCAGGTTTAACAGATTTACAACAGGCTGAAGAACTGATAAAACGAGAAATGATAACAATGTTACATTATGATGCAGTGAATAACCCATTACAAGGTGAACTTTTTGATATTGATGAAAAATTTAATTAGAATTTTTTTAACTTATGCCAATTACAGTTCAAGCAAAGAAATCAACATTGGCACATGCCCAACAATTATCATATTTGGAGCAGCACCCATATGAAAAATTTAGCGATGAAGAGATTGCTCATTCTAAAAAATTACTTCAAAAAGAAATTGAAGTTGTCAAGAATGGCATGGGTCATGGAGAGTTATCGTTAGAAGCATACACTCAAGTTTGGGAAGAATGCTTAGCACAAGTAAATTTTTCTGAACAAATTCTATAGAGTTTTTAATGATCATACCAATTTCTTATTACCACCCGTTGAATAGTGAAAACAAATACTAATTTTATAGACCTACTGAAAATATTCTCTAAACATATATTAATCTGATATTTTTATTTTTAGGTTTTGTACCTACCTAGTCAAAATAGATATACCCGAGCAAATTTAGCCAGTAAAAAAGATAGATTGGAATCATTAGAAAAAAGATTAGAACAAAATCGGAAACATATGGCACGTGAAGCTAAATATTGTGCAAAAATGGAGAAAAAAATAAGGATTTTAACTGGTGGTTATCAGGCACGGGCACAAGGTCTATTAAAACATTTACAAGAGGTTTATGACCAAACTGAACAGGCCACCTTAGAATTATCTACCTTCAAATTTTTGGCTACTCAAGAAAAAGCTGCCATACCCAGAAGGATGGAGGTTTGTTAAATTTGTAAACAAATGTTTTTTCTTATAAATTAATATGTTTATTTCTTATACATTTTTTATAGTCTCTAACTGAAGACGTTCAAAGACAAACTGAAAGGGAGAAACAGCTACAAAGAAAATATCAAGAGTTGCAAGAAAAACTTCAAGAACTGAATGAATTAGATTGAAATAAGCTGTAATGGTAATTTTAGATTCTTTTATAATTTCAATCAAAATAAATTATTTTAAGGTATGTTATGACTTTCTTAGATAATCGTGATATGAAACAATATTTACAATGTTCTCATAAATTAAAGTTTTTTATTATACAGATAGCATCAATGTACAAATATATATATAATGGCCATGTGATTGATGAATATATTGCAAGATAGCAATCAGCTAATATATTATTATGAAAAATATTTATAAGCATGAAATTCACCAATTTTTTTATGATCTTCGGTATAATTAAATCTCCAAAAACATTTTGCACACCATAACATTTCTTCAGTCATTGTTCTTTTACTATTTAATGTTACCCATGAACCCATATATCTAAAGCACATCATGCAGTATGTTTTATAATCCAAATATATTGCAGAAACTAATGGATAATTATATTGAGTAACTGAATGAAACATTTTGCTAGGTGTGCATTCTATGTCGCTAAAAACGAATAGATGTTCACAACAGCCTCTATGTTGATATAAATTTGGGTATCCTAGCCTCATGTAAATATCATTGAAACAAAAAGTGCTCATATCATAAACTCGAACATCCATTCCCTTTCGAAGGCCCCAGTCCTTTAGACTATCTGTATAATCGAAACCATCTTCATACGGGTATCTATCATCTATATATATGATGCCTATGAAAAGAAAATTAAAATGTGAACTATAATTGAGAAAAAAAGCTAATAAATGTTACCATTGATATAGAAGAGTGCTGGGCCTAAAGTGTCTGGAGTTGTTGATTTATTTGGATCTTTACTTTTTTCTTCTCCGGTATCAAGATCTTGTCGACAGCTTAACGCATCTCTAAATTCAGTCAATTTTGTTGTGCCCAAAATCTTGAATTCTCTGTCTAACTTTGGAACTCCTCTTGTATTTTTCTTCCTAAGTTCATGCCTAAATGGATAATGGGATCTAATTGTAATTATTGGAGAATAACTATGAGAAATAGATTCTTCACAACGCTCATTTCCTACTGATACAACACTTCTATACTTTAAATATCTTTCTGCTGTTAGAAGAACATTTTTATTTGTATTATCAACCAGATCCATAAATTTTTTGAAGTTTTTCAATGTTTCCAATTTTGCATCAGGGTCTGGGTCTTGGCGAGAATATAATTTTCGTGCTTTATAAATTTCAAATTTAATTTTTTTTGGATCACTATCAGATTTAAGCAGATCTGGATTGCACCTTCTCTCTAAATCTTCCAGTTCTTCAGAAGATATAAATTTATTATAGTATTGTAAACAATTTTGTATTTGATTTTGTTTAGTTTCATTTACAGGTGTAATGTCTCCTCTTGCATCATCAGCTAAAAATGAGCCGTATAAATCTACAAAAGTTTGGCCAATATGGAGAGGCTTGCTGCATTTAACTTTTTTAGCCTCATAAACCAAATAGCTATCCATTGTGTTAAAATTAATAATATTTTGTCATTAAATAACGATCAGACGAAACATATCAAATTCAATGTGAAAAAATAGTAATTTCTTAACTGAATCGTAAATGAATAAACTCAATTCAAAACATATTCAGTAATAAATTTATTGGGAACTAAAGAAGGTTTAATATAAAATAATAGCTGTGTAAGCCGAGATGCCTTTAAGTCAAAAATTTACTTATCGAGGCTAGTGACATCTTCAGCAAATTATTCCAACTACATTGAGTTTAAATGGTTCAAATCTTGCATAAAGATATCCAATGATATTTTCAAAGTATTATAGCTAAAATACAAAAAATTATATACTTTCTCCAGATTTGTTAGTAAATTTTAGAACAAAAATAATTTTGTCTAAAACTGAAATGTTATTTCCTTTTGTCGTCCCTAGCGCCATGTTTGCCAACCCTTCCCGCATGACAATCAATACGAGTTGAGATTTCGGGGTGATTTGACGTACTTCGAGGCGCGCAGTGAAAATAGTGGAATATTAAGGGATTCTTATTGAAACAATTATTCTAATGTGAATTGTTAGGTCAGTGATTCAAAGTGCCATAAAGAAATATTTTTAGTATTCTATTTTCGAAACATTCGCATATTTACGTGCTGAATTTTTGGCATTTGTTTAAATTTCCACGCCGCCCATTCTATGAGGGAGTGACAGAATCAACACAACAATGGTATTTTTAATTTGTTATTTTATCAATTAATTTTATTTAAATAATATTCTGAAAAAAATATATTGGCTTCAAAAAAGTTGTTAGAATATATATTTTTATATTTACGCATAAAATTTTATTTGTTTTAATTCACACAAATTTTATATCTGGGATACTGATTACATATCGAAAAAATATTGCTTTTATACCTCAGATTTTGATTATATATGCAATTTAAATTTAAAAACATAAACATCGTGAAGTTGCTTAATTAAATGTCATTTTTGTATATAATTCCGGTTTGAATTATTTATAGTTATTATATTTCCTATACAAAGGAAGTTAAATTAAAACCGCTAAAGAAATCATTTTTTAAAATTATTGAAACAAATTTTTGACAGTTAATTTTATCTGTTTTGAATTTATTGTGTATATATTATATATATGTATGTATAAGTAAATTTAATACAAAATATTAAAAAAGTTATTTCCAAATGGATTTGAATAAGATACAGTTTCTTATTTCTAAGTATTCTTTTAATTTCAAACTTGCAATTGTTATTAAACATTACACTCATTAACAATGAATAATTTGTACCAATCGAATTACAATAATGATGGAGTTTAATATTCAAATAACAATATTTGTAAATATTATTAACGACTTTTGAATAGTGTAAATTCGAAACTAAATGCATATGTAAACATTCTTAGACGAAATATGTTTCAGACATTGTTCTGTGGTGTTATGCTCTTATTTAAATCAAAATTATTTATTTAGACATTTTAATTAAATATTAATTATTATATAATGATAAAATATCTATATTCAGTTGGATAAAAATTAATTGCTTCACATGTTTTAGAAATGTTAGAAAAAATAAGTAATTTTCATATCTAATCAGTATTTTCTGATAATGAAAAACTACATATTGAAGAAAGTCGATCAACTGGGCATTTAATAATTTTTAAATTATTTAACCAATTCTAACAAAATTGAAACTAGAAATAGAAGAAGAATATTATTGGGTCATCAAGATTTTTATCATTTATAGATCAGGTTATTAGAACTTCATTTTTTCTTAATAATTTTCAAACTTTTTAGTACAACTCAACTAAATCGACAAGAGCCTGAAATAATATCTATTATTATTGATTAAGGCTTGCTTATGAATAAATAAAAATAAATAAATATATAGACTAAATAGATCAGGAATAAGATCTATTATTGAATCACTAAGCAATTTGGAATATCAATTTTTCATTAATTTTATTTCCAATTTTGTTTTAATACTTATAATTTATCTTCTTTTAGTAATGGGCCCTTTACTTGCTTTCATCAAGTATATATCAAAATATTAAACTTTCATTTATTATGAATAATTTTTAAATTGTTCAACGCATTTCAACTAAATATAGCAACTTATAGACTATTAGGATTCGAGAAGATCTATATTTGAATCGCCGAACAATTTGGCACATTGATTTTTATTGATTATTCATATTGATTTATATATGTCCTTCTTTTACTAAAAGGTACTTTACATACTTGCATCCAATATAGATCAAGTTATTAAAATTTCTTTTATTTCCAATCATTTTTTAGATAGACTAGGAGTAGAAAAATGCTATAATTTAGTCACCTAACAATTTACCACATTGATTTTTTATTACATTGATTTCCATTATCTTGTAATACTTATACATTTTCCATTGCCATTTCACACCACAGTGCCCGAAATGGGGCTATTTTCAGTTGTAAACATATTATAACTTTCAAATAAGACCATATATATTTTGAAGTACAAATGAACATCGCTACTGCACGATGTCAGGTTGTCCAGAGCTTGACTCACGTTGATTCGAACTCCGTCTCCACGAATCCGTGAGCTTTACCATTACACCATAGAACACCATGGGTGGGTGTCATATTATAATACTTATAAACATTCTCTTTTTATTATCTAGTTGCTTTCTACTATTTATAGATCAGTTAATTACATTTTATTCATTTTTGCTCAATAATTGCCTCTGTTTTATTAATCATTGTCATCACAAGTAACCCAATTAAATCAATAATTATCTTCCCGAGCAAATATTTATTTCCTCTATAAGTTTTCCGACTTTTCAAGGTATTTTTTTTATTTAGGGTTTATTTTTGCTCGATGGCAACAACGTAGGAATCGCCTGGCTTGGACATTTGTAACGATTACAGACGGTCTAATAAATAGAGGCAGACTGACCGTAAGATAATTAGTTCTGTCGCTTTAATTTATTTAGTGACATTCATTGCCGTTTTATTCAAGTCGTAGATAGTGTTTTATAAAGTGCTACACAAGATAATAAGAGTTTCATAATAATTAAATTTACTAATAAACTTAATACATGTGTAATAAGCTTTTATTGTTATTTAATAGATTTACGTATACCAAGAGATTTATATACTATAATATTGCAATATATAACTCATGGAAACTTGTTCGAACAAACATACCTCATCTTTCTCTCTTTAGACCCTATCTCATAATTAGTATAGTTCAGCTGTTAAGGCGATTGTCATAGATATAGAAGTATATGGCAACTGTCACTACCGTACTCTGGTAGAACCGCACCCAGTCTTTTTTTTTTATTGTATCTATTAAAACAAATATTTTGAAAATTAATATAGGATTCTGTAAGTTTTAACTAACTGTAATTTAACGTTTGGAATTATTTGAAATAAAACTAGTAGTGAACTTCCCGTACCGTAATGAAATATTCGAAGAATACTAAACGTTTTGAAATATACATGGTCTGTTCAAAAAGTACCCGGAATTACTAATAATTAAATTTCGCGGGTCTGGAGTGTCTGATTGTCAAAATTTTTTTTTATTGTGTTGGTATACATGCCCCTAAAGTATGATGAAATTTTCAGCTAGATTCACTGTTTACTTTGTCTG